AATCTTGAAGAGTTACATCATCGGGAACTCAAGTTTTTCCACCTGAATGATGCTATGAGGAGGGAAAAAAAAAAAATCTATAGAAGACCGTGGCCATAAAGCAGAGCTGTAAAACTAAATTTTAAATTAAGATCATGCACGCTGTCAAAGTAATAAAGATACAAAGAACAAAAACCCCAAACCCTACCGCTTTGGGTTGCTCCAACATGCAGCATTTTGACACCACAGCTCCCAAGCAGAGACCTGGGAGGGGTGGGAGGGGAAATCAGCTCTCAGAGCAGGGAACAATATAATTTTAAAAAAATACATACAGGCTTTAGGTCTGTTCGTTGCATAATCTTTACAGCATTTAAACCAAAAAAATCCAACTTCCTACGGAATTAGAGCTGTGGCCTAATATAAACCGTGTGTCTGAGAACATCATACTGAGCAAAGCTGAATGCTGTCGCTTGAGGAAGAACGGGTTTAAAAAACGAACCAACCCTTCAATGGAAGCTTCATCCTAAGTACTCCTTGCCATTTGTCATCTTCTAAGTCTAGAAAAGCCGAGCTTAAATCCTGCTTCATTCTCTTCCCTTACAGACAGCCGTTGAGAGGTGAGAGGTGGTCGTCTTGATCCAAGAGGGAGGACCATACCCCGTTGGTTTGAACCAGCGCTATTCCGCCCCTCGAGCCCGTGCACAGCTTGATTCCGTATCACTAAAACATACAAGGGCGGAAGGATGGCTACCAGAGCGGGACAAGAACAAGCCAACTCTGCCACAAGTCTCAGCAGTTGAACCCTGACAGCATCTACGAGCAGCAGATGGGGAAAAGGGAAACGGTTGAAGGAAAGAGACTCCTGGCCCCTCGCACCCTTCTGACCACAGGAGCCACAAAGAGGAGCGATCCTGCCCACTGAAGTAGGGTTTCCTGCGGCTCAGTGTCTCCTTTCTTCTTGTAGGTCCCCCTTTCCCTCTTTATTTCCCCAAACAGAGTGGGAGAAGGCCAGGACAGCAGATGAAACGTAATCCCAGGAAGCTGTGCTCATGGTCACTTCTGGAAAGTGCATAGGACTAAAGCTAGAAAGCTTTCCACAAAATGCTGGAGTATCTCCACGCTTCTCCAAAAAGGCGGTAAAGGCTAAATGGCCAGGAGGCACCTCAACAAAGCCTCCCGCTTGCATAATCTCCATCTTCTGTTAATTTACTTCACCAAAGAGTAAAGGTACCAGGAATAATAAGAAGAGACTTATTATGAAGACTAGAGCACCAGTTTCCAAGCTATAAAGCAAATCATTTCCAAATTATACATAGCCAGGTACAGACAAGAAGATTAGTAGCAGTGGTAAATACCAAGAGCAAAGAAGAATATTCAGTCTGGAAAGAAAAAAAAACATAGCAGTAGCTTGGGAACTAATAGTCTTACACACACTCCTGAAAAGGCCACAGCAAGAGAAGCACCACAAACCTAGACAATCTCCCTGTACGCTGTTCTAATACAAATAATGACAAACTAATACCAGTTTCTTAGTTTTAGTGTATCTAGATACCACCAGACTAACTTAATGGCCAGAGGGACCCCGTGGATACAGAAGAAAAGCAGAGATACCAAAGGTACAACCAGAAAACAAAGTTCTTGCTCTGATGCTGGCCTCTCTTCTGGGAATCAAGGCGGCTGAATCACCAGAAGCCTCCAGGTATTTGTACAGAATACAGGAATAATTGTAATTCTTAAATCAATGTTGTATTGGACTACCAATTTGGGATTTTAAAGCATTAAAGATTCACTACCAACTATCAAAACGTACACCCTAACAATAATATTGACTTGAGAAGGGACTCTTAACTATCCCATTTTCTTAAACTGGAGCAATCTACTACCATTGCTAGCTACAACTCTGCTGCCTTCTTCACCTCAGTCAAAAATTTGAATTGCATAAACGAAAACAAGATAAAAAGAGAACTATTACATCTCAACAAAGCTGGGGGGGGAGAGGAGGGAATTACCTAATTTTTACCTGATTGCTCCACAAATAAAAGGAAAAAAAAAAAAATCGACCCGAACTCCAACACAAACACACCTCTCTGGCTTACGTGTGACCTAATACCTTAACTCTGCTTCCACCGAAGTCAGTAAAATGTGAATACAATTAGTCCCTAAAACCAGAAGCATTATACTTACACTTATTCATACCAAAAATTCAGTGCGATACTTACAGAGTTTGTACGTTGTTGCCAAATTAAACACTAGGCAGCTAAAAATCTTTTATGACTGTAACAGAGCTGCTGCAACTCCGGGTGGTTGTTTTATAAAATACAGTGTTTTTTTCCCCTGCAATATAAAAGGGTGTGTAACAAAGCAATAGAAGTGAGGCATTCTGAAAGGACTTTTCTCTTTATAGGTCTAAAGCTGGCCATAATCAAATAATTTAAAGAAATGGGCACCAAATCAGTTTGATACGAAGACCCAGAGTTTTTATGAAGAAAACACAACAAAGCAAAATAAAAAACACGAGCGCGTGCCGGTCGCACGGGTAGGGCATGACAAGGGAAAATCTGACACTAACACGTTTGACCTGTGCTGACTCTCCACAGCTACGGTGCTTTACGCTTGTTAAAGAGCCCACAACTGGACGGTCCAACAGTATCCAAGAACAACGTTAACAGCGTAGGCTAATTGTTGGCTACAGTCGAATGCGGCCGGGCTGTAACCCTTTTTAAATGCGTTTTTTTAAACTGCAGTTGAAAACAGAAGCGAGCATACAGCTATTTACCATTTTTGAAAAATGAGACGGTTAAAGGCACATTAACTATATTATGAACCGATTAAGACCACATTCCTTCACAATAATAATTAACACACGAGCAATACGATAAGGACCTACTACGCCCTATACATTCACCGCTACAAAACAATCCTGCAGGACTACAATTGTTCTGTAAACAGAAAAGCTGATCAAGACTTTCAAATTCTGATTTCCTGTCAACACAGTAATCACAATTAAAAACCCAAAATTATTCATTAACTGAAATACTGTAGACTCCACTTTTTAAACCGCGGAGTATAGTTAATTAGTTTCAGAAAAGCAAATTAACCTTCTTAAATTAGTTTGTGCAAATAAATTGCACGTGCACACAGAGAAAACACACTAAAGCAACTCTCTCCACTCCCTGTTTTTTAGGCTAAGGCTGAAAATATTCTCTTAAGTTGAATTCACTTTCTTTAGGGAAAAAAAAATAATCTTGCTATACTAAGATTCTGATTTTCATCGACTCTTGTTTTTAAACTTTATTCAGTGGATTACAATGAGGCTTGTGCGACTTTTTTCTACCAAGGTCCGTAGCTACTGCCTCATTACAGCTAACGATGGCACTATTGAGACTACACCTGCTCTAGAAACATCCACAGATCCAGAACTACAGAACTGCATTTGGAACATTTTGCAAGTACATATATATATGGAAACAATTATATATTTATCCACAAAATGTCAAATTCAACATCAAACACTATGGAACAAAGATCTTCATTTTTCTCTTTCAAACTTTGCTCATATCCCCAACTTAATTTGCTTTTAAAATAAGAACTGCTCTCCAAAGCCATTCATTAATATACTGATACCTAAGAACCTTAGTTGGTTATTAGTACGTGTTAAGAGATCGTGTAACAGTAAGACAGTTGTTAAAGCATTAAAATATTTCTAAGTGCCCTAAGAACAAAACTTGAATTACTCATTCTCTTCTAATTCTCACCCTGAACATTCACACCAATACATAACACTTCTGATTGTCTAAGCCACAGAATGAAGACTAGTTAACAGCAATTAAATATATTAAATCTTCCATGCGAAAAATTAATCAGTTAAACAGCTTTGGTAACCTAGTATATAGTTAGCTTTGTGTAAATATTTTGCAAACGTCCCTTCCCCCCAAAAAACCCCTATATACCGTGTGTGTATTTATATAATAATATACATATTTCCTGAGTAAATCGTTAAATCTGATTATTCGGAAGATTTGGCAAAATATCCAACTTTATATTACTAAAATAGAATTTTAAATAAACATTCAATAAACACATGAAAATAAATATGGAATGTTTCTGAAAATTATAGTACCATGAACTTACATTAATAACAAACAGTAATTTTTTAATTAAGTGCATACTATGTTATATAGTTACTGTTTTTTAACCCACTGAGGAATCGATAAATCTAATTTCTAATCCTGAGTGACCATTTTATATCACCTGCTAATGTGTACTTTAATGCAGTACCTACTGCAAATCTACAAAACCCTTTTTTTTTTAATGGAAAATTTTAAACGGACTATGCTATAGAAAAGCTCGGTTTACATTGGTTTAGCTAGAAACTGAATTGGCAGCACAACTGCTGAAGCATCTCACACAACCAACGTTAAACACTGATTATTCTCGTCAAACTGTCAGCGATAACCTGAATGACCTGACGCCCTGTCACAAAAACAACACAGGAGTGTGGACTGCTCTGGACAGAGCGATGGGATGCAAACTACTCAGTGATCACTTTGGCACTTAAAAACTATGTAATGGTGCAAAAAAACCCTGAACAATTATGAAATATCTTTCAAATTGATTTTTTTAAGTACGCTAAATTGTATCTGACAAAAAAAGGAGAATTAAGTTCGACCACATCTGGTTTCTCAGGTCATGGCTTGACTCACAGCTGATACACAGCTTTGGATAAGCACACAAGGAAATGCTCAGCTATTGTTTAGTTCCTCTTAATAATAAAATTCTTATGTAGCAGACATTGCAATACCAGCAATATTAAAATTGCATTAACACTATTACAAGATGTGTCTCTCAACACCAGAATCACAGTAATAGAATTGCAGCACTGATCAGTTAGAGTAACCCTTTTGCTTTTGATAACCTATCAAAAACACCTTCCACGGTACTATGCGGGGCACTTCGCCCTTCCCTCCCCGTCCTCAGCCTTCCGCCTCCCTTTTGTTTTTGTTATTTATTATTATTTGCTATTATTCCAGAACTCTCATGGATTCCTCCGGTGTTTCTTTTTTGCTTCCTTTGTTTTCATGCTCCATGCTGCTTTTTTCTTGTGTGCTTGTGTTTGGAGGACTAAGCTCTTGCAATGCCCTTTCAACAACTTCTTGTTTTACTGGACCACTTGAAGAGCTTTTTGGCAAAGTCATCTGTAGCGCACACCATAAAGCGGTACGAGCCTTGCGTGTGGAAGCAGCCAACTCTCTAATGGCAGCTGCCAGAGCCAGAACATCTACAACAGAAAAAACACATTACAGGTTAAACTAGCACACAAGCCTAATATTAATACGTTAAAACGTTCTGTAGATTTGTTCAACCCATCACCAATATGCAAAGTTTGCTCGAGGACAGCTAACGCTGTACCCTGGTACTGCACTGGTTGAATTCCATCAGTTCGCGTTCTTCTCTTGCAAACGATAGCTGTAACGTCTCACACTAATAGCGACCATAATTGTGTCCAAAATTCAGTGGCATAACCATCAGGCTTGCGGTAACAACAATTAAGCTCATTTAATTAACGTTATCAGAGGGGACCACCTACAATGATACTCAACAAGTATGATCAGTAAGACTACCTACTCAAATCCAGCCAGATGAGCGTGACGCAACCCTTTTTTCCTCCTTTGTCTTCCTCGCAGTGGCACTGACACCCACCTGGCCTCACAGTGAGAAAAGGCTCACTGCCGACCGTTGGATATACGATCACCAACAGCAGAACTCGAAGAAACACGTATTTCACGGTGGAAAACAGACTAAAGGCTTTTCTGTATGTGATTGATGCTTAGACACTCAACAGCAGCACAGCCCTTTGTCAGAAACACAACTACGCTGGAGATGTTGCCATTAATCATAAAAGACTAACTAAAATTTTTCTAACTACAAGTTTGAGACATGGATGGGTCAAATAATGCTTCCATATACTTTTACTATAAAGCATTATCAAAAACACAGTTTCTGGGATTTTTATGTTTTTCTTTGTAAGATGACGACTACCTGCTTCCTGGCCTATACCTGGAGCTAAAGTCACATTACACAATTTTAGGAGTACTTTCAGAAGTTGGTTTGCATATAGGACTATTGCTTTTAAGGATATGACATCGTTAAGAAGGTGCTTGACACCTAACTTGTGAAAGCAAATCATTTTGACTCTCTTTACTGTTTATCTTTCCCTTCTTACAAGGAAGAACTATCCCATACACGTTGCTGGCAGGCAAAGGAACGACACGCAGTCAGCCTCACTGCAGGACATCAGACAATACAGGCCGGTGCCGAGTAAGGATCCAAAAGAGGATGGGGGTGAGGCAGGGGAAGCGCATTCCTCTTTGGAAACCGTCTTCTGAGACACAGGTATCTTCTGAAGAAAAATAATACGGTCTTTCCCTCCAAACCCCGAATTCCTGTATGTATCAGCTGAATACTGATACATATACTGAATAGCAAGTTGTCACTTACACTATGCTATTAGAAGGGAATGCAATTTGTCCTAGTTTCGCATTACTTCTACAGAAGCGCATACTACTGCTACATATTATTCTGGCCTTACTTCAACAGAAGTTGGGAATCGTAAAATGTAATTTCTGGCGGTTTTGCGATTTAGATAAGGTAGGCAGACACAAGCGATTAACACAGCACCTACAAGTTTTTTTTTTTTACTGTATAAGCTGAAGAGAAAAGAAAGACTGACAATACCACTAAAAAAAAATTCAGCTTGTTTAAAAACAAGTACATTTTTACTTTTAGGACAACTACTTATGGTTATATAATATCACTGAACAGTTTTTACAGTTCTCTTTAGCCAAGAAAAGAATGTTTCAAAGTGTTTAAACTAGTAACAGAAAAACAGAGAAGAAAAAAGATCTCTTAAAGTAATTTAAAAGTCTCAAAGTGTGACAGGTTTAGATTTACAAGCTTTTTTTGCTGAAGTTACAATAATTGCTGCATATTTCAAATTTGCATATTTCAAATAGCGTGTTTTCACAATTAAATTTTTGAAAAAGCTTTTTAAAACTACAAGAATGGACAGCAGTTACCTTTCTCGTTATTATACCGTGGTGCTCCTTGTCTCTGTGGATTAGCAGCATTAATAATCTCATCCTTACGCCTCGCCTGTGTTACGTGAATGGCTTCCATATGGTGTTCCAATGTAGCGGATATGTTACCGTGTACAGGGGTACCACGAAGCCTTTCCATTTTTCCTATTAATGTGAGTACCTGCCAGATACATTGAAAACACCGAAATCACTAAATATAAGTCTCTATTAAACAAACAAACATAAAAGCAAAAAGAAATGGAGGAATTATAGCTCAAGAAGGCCTACCCTGGCTTGTTCTCGTAACTGGTCGACAATCAAACGATCAACTCGCGATGGGTTAGCAGGAAGCCGGGACACAGGAGTGTTATTTGAGCTAGATATGCGCTTTCCTGGAAAGTTTCTTGCAAGGTCAGCCTCAGTCTGGAGGGGAAATAAATAGCCATCGTATTTGAAATTAGTACAATATTACAATCCATATTTTGGGGGTGGTTTAGAATTTTCAAAAAATTATCAGTGTGCTTCCTATCTTTACCTCTGACTGCATTTACAGAAAACCGTTCCCAAATATCTGTCTAGATGTACAACCAGATGCTGCAAAAATAAGAATACTTCTCTAAGTCAGCTCTGCCTCAGAGTACAATGCTCAGTGGCAACATTTAGAACCAAAGCTGTGCAACTTTATTTTAACCAATCTTGCACAGACCTCGGCAGAGAAATTCTTGTACAGTACCCCAGGAATTTAAACTGTATGCCTCTCACTGCATCCTTCAAATGTCACATATTATTATTATTAACAAAAGAAACAGGTGATCACACCAGCGTAAATTGTATCTGAAGCGCATCAGGATTAAGCCAGATTAAACCTAAACTGGTATCAGCTCTGAAAAAGTCATCAACACAGATGCCAAACTCCCCATTGAGAAAGGAACTGGCCAAACCACTATAAAATGCAGGCAGTGACTAAACATCCCCAAACCTATTTTTGGATAGGAACTTCTTACACTTGGAGTAAAAAAGACACAACTAGCAGCTGATTCTCTGTCTTGTTCCTTCTTCAGTGTACAGTGGACTTGAGAGAAAGATTAGGTACCACACTGCAGTTCAAGGCAAGGTTAAGTCCACATTCATACTATGCACATTCGTACTGAAAATATGGGCTGAAGTCCTTTTCTTTTTGCTTTACTGACACATCCATATTATTTACTCTCTGCCCTCACCTAACATGAATTACAAGAGCTGACTGACTCCACCTGCATTCATCTCAGAAGGCTGAAAGACATTCTGAAAAAAATGGATGGAGAAGGGGTCATGAATTCGTGTAACGACTCCAGGTATTTAAGAATTACAACTAATAAGCAATTCGCAGCACTAATCTAAATGTACATTTACTCTTGCAGGCAATTCCAAACAGACAATTTGTGGAACTTTTTAAAATGAGAGATGCCTGGAAAAGTGAGATTTATAAAAGGAAACAGGTAAGCTCACTGTCACCGTGAGCTCCAAAGCGGCTATGATGAACAGGTTTCTGAGAGCTGAAAGGGCTGACTGATGAGACAAGACAGAATTAAATGCAAGTCCCGCTGCAGGGAGTTTCTGTCTACACTCTTAAGGAATTCATGTAGGGTGAGAATACCAAAAAGGTGAGAATGTCAAAAGAAAGTCCCTTCCTGCGTACATACGTACAGGTGAGCTCTACACACACTGGTAAGCTAAACAACACTGAAGCAGAGGCCTTGGCGCTGTCCTGGGATAGTTCAGGCTGTTAGGACCGTAAAAACAGCTTCTGGGAGTTTTAACCCCTGCCAACTAGCATTCTCCCAAACCGTACCCGCAAACAGGGATTAACACAGTCCAGGCCCATTCCCATCAGGCAGTCGGGATGCAGTCATCCCCTTTTGAGGAATAAGTATTTTGGTTGTAGAACGTAAGCCACACTATGGCAGCTGGCTTGTGAGACTGAGAACAGTTTATACTCAAATAGAGCTATCTGCAGGTGTAATCTGTAGCTACAAAAATCAAGGACTGAGAAAGCCTGAGTAGATCACTAGGATAAAACTGGATCACCTAGAATGGACCAGATCAAGTTCAACAATTGAATCCCTTCGATTATTAACAACATCATGAAATGAAGATAAACAATTCTTCTTTAATGATGAAACCACAAAAACATATATTATGAGATAAAAACTATGATTCAGTCTGCCCAAATGACTTAATGGACCCAAATCCTGCATGAGCAGGTTTGGAACAGCCGCCTTTGCCACAACAGAAAGCAGAAGAGTTTCTGAAAACACGGTTGTCTCAGGTACACTGGAGCAAAAATCATCACTGCCCTCTCTCACTTGCAGAGAATTCCTGGTAGAAGACTGGATGGGCAGAAAGGAGTCTTGCTTAAAGGCATCCAGCAAGCACACAAGACAGGCAGTACTATTTACACCTCCAAAAGGCTCTTAGCAAGGTCTCACAGTTGATGCTGGAAAGAAAACGGTGCTCTCCAGAGATCCAGTTTGGTCAGATACCTGCCTCTTTCTCCAATGACCCGGAGTCTTCTCCAATATGGAAGAAGCAGACGGGCACTTGCTGTATAATTAGGACCCTGGATTATCAACAACCTAGTTTCCAAGACCTGCCACAGAGTTCAGAGATTTGACTCTTCCTGGAAAAGCATCTCCTGCTCCTTTTGAGCTCAGAGCTTTCATTCCCAAGTGTAATACATCTATCAGCACTGTGATCCCTCCCAGACAACAATTCCGAGCGAGAGAGTCTGAGGCAGGAAAGTGACTGTAACAAGAAGAGTATAAACTAAGCCTTCCTCTGGGAGAAGTCACATCCACTCAAAACACTGGACGCTTTCTCTACAGCCGTGTATGGGGTGATCAAGATTATTTTCTTTCTTTTCAGTAAACCAAAGATTTAGTCAAACAAGAAACAAAAATAAAAAGGGAAAGACACCACTATATCACTGACAGTAAAAAAAACCACACCAACAAAAAACCAACAAAAACCAAAAAAACCAAAACACACCACAAAAGTTTCTCTCCTGAAATGACTGCGCAGGGAAAAGGAGAGCCTGGCTTTACAACACCTGAGTTAACAATTTAGTTGGAGAGAAGGAATATGGGACAAGAAAAGAAAAGAGGTCCATCTGACCAAACTGTGCAATATGAACATTTAGAGCATGAAGGTGCATACAACACGAGTACTTTAAGAACCACCCGCAGTAGCGAGGGCCCCGCTATCATCATCTGTGGCTGGTGGCTCTAGAGTCGTAACAAAGGCCTACTGAATTAGTAACAACCAGCTAATGATCTTTTATTGACCATATAAGTGAAGAACATCCAAGCTAATGACAATTCAGTGCTTTGGCCAGTGACATTGTTATCACATTTGTTGTAGCAAATACAGAATCACAGAATCATAGAGTCGTTAAGGTTGGAAAAGACCCTTAAGGTCATCGAGTCCAACC